CAATCTTCCTTTTTATTTCAGTTAATTTACATCTCTTTTTTTAAATGAATTGAAAAATAAATTGTTAGTCATAATTAAAACTTCAATTTTCAAACAAAAGTTAATATAACAATATTACTTGAAGGCAGTTTTAACACGATCATTTATTTAGTCAGTTTGTCACCATCCCTTAGCAATCTCGCGATCTAACATCACCATTTATACCCACAAAACCATTTCCCCCTCATTCTATTTACGGTACGTCTACTAAGCCAACTTACACGTTCAACTCATGGGATAATAGCTAGGTAAATACTTCTATGACATATGGGATGAGAGCTAGGTAGACTTATACGACATATATATGTCGTACAAGTCCTTATCTAGCTGTAGTCCCATAAGTCGTACACGTTATTACGTAGCTGGTATCCAATATGTCGTACAAGTCTTTACCTAGCTGTTATCCCATATGTCGTATAAGTCTACCTAGCTGTCATCCCATATGTCATAGAAGTATTTACCTAGCTGTTATCCCATATGTCGTACACGTTATTACCTAGCTGTTATCCCATATGTCGTATAAGTCTTTACCTAGCTATTATCCAATATGTCGTACAAAGTCCCTTTGCGATCACAAATGCCAATATAACACACCACACTTTGACGAAGCAGTATAATCACAAACTAGGCTGAAACAACATGAAATATCTAGACTTAATATCAAATCACTTATTTTCATAAGTGAAGCCACGTCTTTAACGTGTTAAAAAACTAAACAAAACGGGTCGTATGGTTCGCAATTATCCATCCTTGGTTAATTTGTTAATTGCACGTTCTATTCTTTGTGTTTTAACTATATTCTACTGACCACAGCGAATCTATGTTTATTTAATATTTAAATAATATTTGGAATTAGTACTATTAGCTGTTTAAAACTATTGCAAACCTGTTTAAAATACTACAAGTAAATATGGGCTTCTTATAGTGATTGAATGTATATCATATTTGGTGTAAGGTTCACTGATAAGCAGGGTAAGTTCTCAAAACTGGTATAACTCACTGACAAGTGGTGAATGGAATGAAAGATTAAGGTTCATATTCATTTTTCATAACAGTAGGTTCGCTACCTTTCTAATGATATGTCTGAAAGCTAGCCAATGATATTATCGTTGTGATTTATTTTTTCAGAATATTTACATATTTATATCATATGAATGATATTTTTGAAGCAGATAGTCCGTAAGAATCAAACACAAAACGATTGCCTTCAGACAAACCATAGGATTTAATTTACTTAAAACATGTATGACTCAGTCTTCTATAATCATGCATTAGATATTTTGTTTTCATATTCGTAATATTGTCTCGTAAGTTATAAAAACGAAGGGAATTATCTGCTTTGATAGAATTGTAGAATCCTGACTACTGGTATGTATGTTTTCGTAAAGCACGCAACAACGTTTTAGATAACAGATAAAATATATACTTCTAATATACACTTTTATATATAGTAGCTGTATAAAGGACAATGTTAGATAATGTTCCCCTTTCTTCTTTATTTTGTTATTAAATTCGTAATGACCTCATTAGATGCTAATTGCATATCTTGCGTTGTGGAAGCTAATAATTAATTCATTTAAGTGATTAATTACTTGTTTTCTTAAGTTCAAAGTCAGAATTATATAAAAGAGAGGAAACGTGCTCTATTTCGAGGCCCCTTTTTCAGGCAAAAATCTTAAAACAACTATCACATACATACTGTTGGATAGTTTCTAATTACCAGACCAAACACTACGGTGATCCAGCACACCAACTGTGGGTGATGGAAGTCTAAAAACTATAAAAAGTGGAAATGTGTCCTATTTTAGGTGCTTTTTATACCCATTTCTGGGGGAAAAAACCTAAAACAAAAAGGCTTTGTACACCTACAAATAGTTTCTAGTAACCATAGAAAAAATTACGATAATCGAGCCAGCCAACTGTGGGTGATGGATACAAACACACTCACGTGCAGACACACACACACTTACCTACACCTAATGGATTATCTTTATAGTAATATTAAAATGTTATGTAGAAACTGTGTTATTTGAACTTTCAAGAATAAGAATGGTTTGATTAATAACATTGTTTGTGGTCTATGATGAATTTTGCCTTTGCTTCCAAAATTCTTAAATCTACGAGAAACGAACATCTTTATATATAACTCCTTAAAAGTTTTTTCATTTTTCATTAATTTAGATAACTTATTAAGTTAATAATTTTGTTGCTAACTGGTTAAACAACAAGAAACTAACACTCCATTATTAACTATGCACTTCCTTAAAATTTTGTATCGTAAATAAACAAGCCTTGGTTTGGTTGGCATAGTGACATGACGTGTGTTGTGCAGCCAATCAGTACGAGCTGACGCGCTTTCTTCATTGGCAAATGAAAAAGAGTAAAACAAAAAGGGGAAGAAAAAGTTGAATTAATAATTATTTCATCTAGTACTGTCAATGTAAAGCCACGATAACGATAGTACAACCATGGTATTTGTATCTTGAAGCAGTTAGTACTTACAAAACACTGCCACCAAATAAACCTCGGAGTAAAAATGGAGTGAATCTATAAATATTATTTAGAGAATATTCTTTATTAATATATTCTTTATTTAGCTAAACAGCAGTGTTACGTAAAGTAAAATAAAAAAAAAGTCACACAAGAAAAAAAAAATGAACGTTCACGTTAAACAAAAGAACGAGGTAATAACATTTACTGCTCATAGTTGGATAATGTGTATGTTACTGAATTGTTGATATGACAGCCCAGTGGAGAAAAGTTAAGAATCAGTTTGAAAACCTTGAACCCTGCGTGAGTTTATTTGTTGTACACAATTGTTTATTGAACCGAAATTATGCACCCTTATGTTAATATAGAAACATCTGTTGCGTAGTTATCATAAGAAAGATGGAACAAAGCCATTAAATTATCATTAGACAGATACATCATAAAATGAATTAGAATATCAAGTAAAAGATAGACCAAGACTATCTACTCAACGTACTATAATACAGGACCGGTCCAACAACTCATCGTCGCCTCCCGATGGGTCAATGGGAAGTTTGCGAACACTAAAGTTCGGGGTTCGATTGCCTTCGATAAACAAACGCAAATATCTCCCCCCGGTGACTCAATAGCTAAACATCGGGTTTTGATGCCTATGGTGGGCGTAGTACAGATAACCCTTTGTGTATATAGCGCTTAGTAACAATCAAGCCACTCGATGTTACACGATGCATTACAGTATTACTAAAACATAGAAAAAATAAATCATTTGTACACCACTGACCTCTAGAAAATACACAGTAAAGGAAATAACGATGAAACATGCGTAAATCACAAATAATGAATAAATGGTCAATTTATCATTAATGTGATACATTATTACAGAAAATGCAGGTTATACAGTGAAATAGTATTTGGCATTTATTTTAATACAAAGCGGTAGATCTTGCTTTTGTGCTAATTTAAATTGATCGATATGCGATTCTGAAATATTGCTCAAATTACTCTTCACAATTCTGTCAAGTTATTCGGTTGGCGATTGACTTTTCAAGTTTTTATACAACATACATCCTGGTATCGTTTCACCATATTTGCTGCATGCTTGGGGTCAATGTATTGCTGGAAAATGAATTTCTGCCTAACAGATATTGTTAGTAAAGGAATGGAATAATGGATAAGATACTAACTGTATCTGCAAGAATTCGGGGTACCACTGTTTTATATAGACCTTTATCGAGATGTTTAACACCTTTGGCTTAGATGCAGCCCACACTTATATTAGGCCTATGGCGTACTTTACGACAGTTTGTTTGTTTGTGTGTTTGTTTGCGCAAACTACACGAGAGCTGACTGTGAAATTTAGCAGTGAAAGACTAGAGGGAAGACAGCTAGTCATCACCACCCACCGCCAACTCTTGGGCTACTCTTTTACCAACGAATAGTTGGATTAACCGTCCCATTATAACGTCCCCACGGCTGAAAGGGGCGAGCATGTTTGGAGAAACGGGGATTCGAACCCGTAACCCGCAGATTGCGAGTCGAGTGCCCTAGCCATCTGGCCATGCGGGCCTCTTTACGACAGATGCTATATGTTGACTCTTATAATGTTTCTTCTTTGCCATAGAAAAACAGAAACAAAAAAAACTGCCGTTGATTTTTGCGAAACAATTTCAATTTTAATTCATCTTTAAACACTACCCTCATTTAGCTATTGTTTGAAGTCTGTTGTTCATTTCATCCTTTTGGTTTGATTATCTCTCATAAGTAATATGTATTAGAAGCTACACATCTATTAAGAAAGCATAGTGCTAATGAGTTACTGGGGGTAACATCCTCACCTGATAGATCCTTTTCAAGATCTCCACTAGATTTAGCATCTCCTCAATTACTCTTTCCACTAGATTGAGTTTATCACGTAAATATCATATCCTCACTTACATAGATGTTGAATAGTTTTAACTTTCTACCTCAACCACCATAATATTTGCATTTTAAACCCATTTTATTTACTGTTTTTATAATTGTTTCTATTACTGTATTATGAGAAAGACAATGATTAGGATATTATGTCTATTATATCGTCGTAACTACATAAATTTACACCTATACATTGCAAATATCTCCCAGTGGGTCAACAGTAAATGTACTGACTTACAACACTAAAATCCGGGGTTCCTGTCCACGCCATGGACAGAATACAGATAATCTATTGTTAGCTTTGCACCAAGAAAACAACAGTACATATAAAAAAAATCCTTCATCGAAAAAGAAACGTTTCGATCAACCAGTAAGGTTATTTAATTAAATAAATATCACTAAGCGTTTGAGATTATCACTTTCTTTAGAAGATATGTAAATAGTTTTCTAAAAACACTAATTTATCTCTTTAATAGTTCATCTGTGTAGTGATCTATTTTCATTCTACGTGTAATAAAATGTACGATTACATTGTAGTGATTAATTTTTCATGACAGCTTATAGAAGAGTTGAACTACCAGACGGCACTATTTCGTGACTTTCTCATTTCGGTAGGGAAGCCAAATGACAGTCCAGAAATAAGGGATAGGATCAAACAAGTGCGCCGAAAGTGTGTAGACTCTTGTTCCTCAGTTAGTCATTTGCTAATGCCTCAAATACGAAGGTAGGGCTGATAAGTTTACTTTTCCTAATCTAATTTGTTGGTGTACAAAATTATATCTTAAGAGAACTAAATACGTAGGCAAAAAAGATATGTTTTGGAACATGATCTAACTTGTTTAATCTAAGGCTGATGATATGTTGCAGTTTTATCATAGTTCTTATCAAATGCAACTAGGTTGAGAACATGAGATATTACCGGACAAATTTAGGCTTAATGCTTATTTAATCATAAACAGCAGCTCCAAGTGGCACAGCGGTATGTCTACGGACTTATAACGCTAGAATCCGGGTTTCGATACCCGTGGTTGGCAGATTACAGATAGCCCATTTTGTAGCTTTGTGCTTAATTACAAATAAACATAAACAGCATAGCTGTATAAAAAGGTATGGCAAAAAAAAAAAGAATTGTGACTGAAAGATGTGAAATCAAATTTTGCAACCAAAATGAGAAAACTACGACTAAATCACTCAAAATTTTACAAAATTTGTAGAGTATTTTTATCTAATACAAGAAATCGTACGCTGTTTTCTGTTTAGCTACGCACCGACAAATTAGAAAAAAATTAGTTACAGGTTCGAACATTGATAAATGTCATCAATTATAGTGTGAAAGAAAAGAGTGTGTTATGGATCTTATTTAAACATTGCAACCTATCTTCACGATATTTATGTGTTCTGTCATGATATTCACTTATAATTTCAATACCATGTCTTGTTTCATTTTTCTGTTACTTGAACTCGGTCTCATGTCATTCAATAATATTTTGTTACATTTTAAAATATGTATATAGTCCCTAGAAAAAATCAAAAGGTCATATTATAGTAAAATGTATCGGAGAAGGTGAAAAATATTTCTGAAATTCTCATAACAAATAGTAAAATATTGTGTTAGAGCTTTGTTTTTCATACATGTCTAACATGAAATTAACATATTGCCATGAAACTGTTCAACATGAAATTAAGATACTGCCACTTAATATTTTATTCAGCACAGTAGAAATTTCATACCACATAAAATTAACGTATTTTTAAGTTATTCGATGTGAACCTTTTATGTGAATAATACATTTTTCTGTATTTATTTCATTAACTTTATGTCACTCTATCGGCCTGTTTAGCTATATCTTAGAATACATGTCATGTAAATGGTGTATAGTCACAGTATAAAGCAAATCGATAGGCTAGACATATGTAAAAAAGAACAAACTCATTTATTCAAGACTTCGAGGCAGCTACACGTGTTTATCTGTGCTTTACATTCTAACAGGAACACGAGAGAGCGAACTTCTGTAACACAAAACGCAGTTATCTTTATTAAAATCACTTGCGATTCATACAAGCCACACAGGTCTCTGTTGCAAAACACTTTTTATTCCCTTGTCACGTGTTATTTGAAATAAAGTATAATAATTAAGTTGGAATAACTTACATCAATCATACCGGTTCCTTTCAACTTGGAAAACGGCAATGAAAGATTTCTAAGAAACAGCGAATTCTCATTTCATTTGTGAAAATGCAGGGTACTGAAAAATTATTAACATAAAGTTGTGGACAGTTATTTTAAACTTCTAAAACATACACGTCATCAAAACATGAGCCAGCTTTGTAAACAATAATTAAATGAATGAAACAAACGTCAAAATAATCTCGCACCTCGTTCTAATTGTATAATACTGAATATGAACGAGGGTTGAAACAACAGATTTTTGTTTTATGAATAGTATACACAAGTATAGTTTATGGACAGATTATCCCATACTCAAACAATCTAAGTTACAAGAATATTTTCCAGCAATTCAATTAGTCACAGCGGTTTTGTTGTTGTCATTATTCCAAGCAACATTGGCTATCTGAGTCAAATGTAGCAATCAATATCTTAATTTATTGCTAAGCCAGATTCGCTTTAAGGGGTCACGCTTCTAGTGCATTTGGCATCAGACCAACATCTTAAAGCTGCAGCTCTTAATTAAGTTTTCTGACCATTTTAGGAAAATTTTCTGGTGTATGAACGTATCATTTTATAGCTTAAATACCATGAAAATGCGTTTTTTTTAATTCAAAAAGGTGAAATATATAGAAATGTCAAACCATTTTATCACTCGTCAGAATCAGTAAAATAAATAAAACACCATAGCGAAGTGGCTGAGCCTCGTGTATGAACACTAAAATAAATATTCCATATATTGTCAAAACATATTATATTCTCAGCAGTGATATGAAAATATTAACATTAAATGGCTATCATAAATTATTCATATAAAATCTAATATAATAATTAAAAACGAACATTTAATGCAATTCTCTTAACTTCAGGTTTTAATTATTCACGGAAGTGCGATAGAAAACTTCAGGAACACTTATACATGATGAATATTACTCAGTTATCGAACGATTCATTGATCCGGCAGTTTCCAAACGTATTTCCTTGACAAAACCATTTGTTCAGTAAATGATAGAATGGTTACTTTTTATGAGCTTGTTGGGCGAGATTCGTTTTTTTTTTTTTGGATATCGTTGGGGGGGGGGGTAATTGTTTTCAGATTATTATTCTGCGTATTCATTCCTCAGTACCCATAATCCATCTTATCTCCGTATTAATTTCTCAGTTCCTTTGATCCGTCTTTTCTCCGTATTCATTTCTCAGTTCCTTTGATCCATCTTATTTCCGTATTCATTTCTCAGTTATTTTGATCCATTTTCTCTCCGTATTCATTTCTCAGCTCTTTTGATCCATCTTATCTCCGTACGAATTCCCCAGAAATCTTCTTGTTAACGACGCAATGTCATTAAGTCATATGTTTTAGATTTGTAACTTTATGAAAAGGTAAGAGATTTAACTTCAAATTTCTTGTTTCATCTGAATCTTGTAAATCAAGTATTTTCAGAACGTACTTCAATTTTGGGAATAAACATATAAAATGAGGTGTTACTCTGGTTTAGCTGTCCTAGTAAAATGTCTAAATGCTTCACAAATTAAAATCCTCAAACTTATGCAGTTTTATGTTACGTGAAACGAATCTTTGATATTCAATGATGTATATTTTTCGAGATTACAAGTTACAACAATGTGAACAAAAGATCATTATAAACTTTTGGAAACGATGATTAAGTCTAACGTAATAGTACCAAAGATTCAATGTTCCCAGCACGTTTTGCTCTATCTGCTTCTCTTTCGTCTAAACAATGACTCTGCAGCGATGTTTCCATGAGAATACCTTTCAACTGTGTAGCTTTTCATTGATCTGCTAAATCTTAGGTCTACGACTTCCAAGTGAATGTTTTAGCATACCACAGACACAAATGTCCGTCTTGAAACTGCACCAGCACACTTAGCAAGTAATCTAACTGGATTACTGCAATACCTGTTACATCAGCCATCTTTCTTATGAAAACAATCTTTAATTTGGAAGTGTTAGATAGAAGACAGTGAATATTTGGCTTTTGACTTTGATCATCTTCAAATCCTTCTTCTTGTCGTTTTGTTTTTAATCTTGTTAGCCATATCAAGAGATCCCCAGTATTTTGGTTGAAAATGTTCTCTTTGGTAACAATAGTATACACCTTTTGCTTAACGATATTGCTCCTGGTAGGATAAAAATATGGTTTTGGAGACCGTTGTTGTCCTAAACTCTGTGTAATGTGAATTGTTCCTCTTACATTGAGAACAATGAAACCTTCTTTTTCGATGTATGAATATTTCTCTTCAGTAAATAATCGTTTTGAAAGATGTTTTACGAGTCATTCAGCATGTTTGCTTTTATATCTGATGTCTGTCTACCACGCGACTGTGGCCCTAGATCTATCTTGACATTCATAGGAAAATGGTTTCTAATTTACATTCATTTCCGTAATCTATAAATTACCATCTGTAATATTTGTTCATCGTTTTGTTTTGTGTAATCTTTTAAAATTATTGATTCGGCACAAAGCAAGAAAAATTGTGTTTGAGAAAAGTGATGCTAAATGTATACGTATAATATTATTTTACCCGTGAAGTTAGGTCGTAGTTAAAATGAAGTAGCTAACAAGAAAGTTTGCAAGAACAGAGACAAATAGAGTATAAGTATAAAAACGTAAGCATTAAAAAAGTTAAGAAGAAAGTAGGTGTATAAGTATAAAAACGTAAGCATTAAAAAAGTTAAGAAGAAAGTAGGTGTATAAGTATAAAAACGTAAGCATTAAAAAAGTTAAGAAGAAAGTAGGTGTATAAGTATAAAAACGTAAGCATTAAAAAAGTTAAGAAGAAAGTAGGTGTATAAGTATAAAAACGTAAGCATTAAAAAAGTTAAGAAGAAAGTAGGTGTATAAGTATAAAAACGTAAGCATTAAAAAAGTTAAGAAGAAAGTAGGTGTATAAGTATAAATATAATTACTTTTATTTATTATTAACATTCTATCTCCTATTTTTATATTCAGTGATGTAGCAGAAGGAATACCAGTGGATAGCCAGCACCTGGTAAACCTAGTCTGTTGTACACAACTTTTGCTGCGGGAACTTCGCAAGTGTAACCAGATGGTTTCTGTAAACGCAATGGATATGCGTGAATTTTATGGTAAGCAGTTTGAACATACGAAATAGTTCATAATTGTAAATTTCTTTAAGATTTTTAATGTAAAATTTAATTAATTAATTTCTTTAGACTGGTAAAAAACTTTGGTTAGAAAACTTGTTACCTTATTTATTTTCGGAACATTTAGAGTTTCTGTGAATTAAACAATGTTTGTCTAAAGGAAAATGTTGTGAAGGCTAGGTGTTTTAGTGTAGGTTTTATTATTTTCTGTTTGGCCAGAAGGAGTATTGTTAATCACGTGATGACCATGTGGCTTATTGTTTGGATGTTTCTTGAGAATTTAGAAAATGATTTTAAAGTATAAAAACGCGAGTTAGACAAGGATAGGTTGTTAAAATTGTTGATTGATTATTGAGTTAACCACGTAGTTAATCCAGTATTGTAAATTCTGAGTTTGTGTATTCAATGATGTATTAAAGATAGGAGAAGTACGTATGAGAAAATTAGAAATGGCATCTCTAATCGGACGTTATTTATCTGTGAAGTTAGACTTATCATTAGCTGTGAAGAACTTGAACAACTTGTACTTGTGAAGTTGTAGACATTGTAATCAGAAAATTAAAATGCTATCGTTATCATTAAGCGGACTAGACTTTGCACTATTTCTTTTACCAAATAATTCCAAAAAGAGCATGTCCAACTAAATAAACTTTTACAACACTGGTGTTATGTTTTCCTAGGGTGTTTTTGGTAAAACTAAAGTAAAATTAAACTCAATTTCAAGTGAGATTGAGCGAAATTTAGCTGGAAGTGAGGACATAATGGAAAAAGAACACGAAGGGAGAAGAATAATATTGATAGAAGACTAAGAAGAAACCTACTGAAAATTAAAAGATCAGGAAAAAATTACAGATACTTAAAATTAGATCGGGAAAAAAATTAAATATAATTAAAATTAGATCAAAAAGAAACAAATAGAAATTTCTAAGAGGAGTTACAAATATTATATTTACAGAAGACTTGTGAATCTAACTCAGTTTGAAGGAACACAAGAAATAACATATACATAGCACAGTGAAACTGTAAAAGCCATGAACAGTATAGGGGATTGAAAGCCGTGGGAATTGTGCAGAATAATTATAACACTATAGTTAAAAAGTTTAGAAGGATTGTACCAACAAAACCGAAGGAGTACAGAAAGATAACATGATTGAAGGAGTTGTAGGAAATGCGCATAAGGACATCATCGACGTAGACAAGGACATCAATGCCAGGCTAAAAAAAAAGAAATTGAACTGTCAAATTTGAGAATCAAACTAGCCACACCTCTCTATGCATCCAGTTAAGAGTTCAAACCTAAAACACCATTGGTTGTGCAATTTGGAATAGGATAACCTATCCAGTTTGCATACGAATAAACAAGTATGTTTACAAAAGAGGGTTTGAAACATACTTACTTATCTATCCACAAACAAAAAGATGATATAGTTTGACAAGTTTTTTCTTATGAAGTATTTGCTACCATTGCTGTTTTGCCACTTATGATTGCAATTACCTTTTATGCTATCTCAGCACTTTATAAAGTTATGGAATTTAGCAGGCCAGGACAACAACATCGATCAATCTAGAAGTCAGCAGATTATGATGGATAGGTATCATGGAGACATATTAGGTACTGGTAGAAATAATTTTCTAGATGAAGGGATGAAGTAGTAATAACAAGCTATTTTTCTTACTGCACACTTCAAAGGCACAGCTTTAAAAACATTAAGAAACCTTCCTACAGAAAGTCGTAACAACTGCAAAACATTAATGGCAGCCTTACCAAAATGAAGTTTTCAAAGCAATGTCTAGGAGTAGAGTTAAGAGAAAGGACGAAGATTTAGCCTAATTTGCTGAAGATGTGGAAATATTTGTCCAGTTATCGCATCTTAGATGATTCACGTGAAATGATTGATTCATTTGCCATGAACGATTCATAGATGCCGTAGTGGATGAGAATATCCAAATTAGGCTAAAGTCTTTAAAGGAAGATTTTCAGTTGGTAACGAAACTTGAATCCATTAAAATTGCAGATAAACAACTTAAAGCATCATCCAAAAATTATGGAGTCGTAGGATCAAATGATGTGAAAACACCAACTCTCTCTGGTGGAAGTTTAGAAGAATTCAATGATTAATTAGACAACTACTTACTCAGAATGGAAGAAGAAAACAAGGGGGAAATATGAGGTTCAACCATAACATGAAATGTCGTATTGCTAGAAACTGCAGATTAAAATTGCTCAAAGTAAATGGGAACTTCTATAAGTTTAGAAGATAAGGACATCATAGCCCAGATTGAAAACAATCGACAAATAATAATAATTCAAGTAGATGATCACCCGAAGGTGAGTTCCAGACTCTGAAGGATCCAATAAATATAAGTTGCTAACCAGACACTGAAATACAGGAAATAATTGGACTTACAAAGCAAAAAACATATGATAATACCCCATATGTCACAACTGAAAGAATAATCTCGTTTAAAAAAAAACAAACTAGTCCATTGATTCATTGAGATCGTTGATTGAAAGCCTTGAAATATGTTGATTATTACTGGTTTACAACCACTGTTCCTCAACCCAATGGGAAATCACCTCCGAAGATAAAACTGGAGGACCAATTGGTGAGAAAAGCAAGTGGATATAACGTTTCAGCAAAAGGAAAGGTGGAATTAATGTTCAGAGTGGAAAACTTCTCTGCACAACACGTTGTTTTGGTAATTGACATAAAGGAATAATGCATCTCTCGTGATCCTTTTTAGAAGAATGTTGGCGGGAAAATAACGAAATTATTAGATTCAAAGAATGCTTCGACATTGGTAAATGTAACTACTGAAGAGATCAAGGTTTACTGTCGAGACAATTTCTAGAGTATCACAGTTAATGGGTTCCTTCAATCACCTACCTAAAGAGTAATCCTCCTGGTAACAAAGTACAAAGTGTTGACAAAGGGCAAAAGGGCATATCTTCCATGGCCTTTAAGTTGCAGAAATAAATAACCAAAAAATTTGGTGACTGTTCACTTCAGGAGTAGTAAATGAGTAATTAAGAACATTTCGTGTGTTAATCAAAATTTTGACGGTACTTTGTTTCACACAATTCGTGAATTAGTTAGTGTAATATCTGTATACATTTTGTCCATTGTAAAAAAATACTTTATTATTCATTAGAGGAGTTTGAGTTTAACGTACCATCATTTTCTTTGTGAATAGGATTGTTTATCTCATAATCGAAGAAGTTTAATATCTTATATGCTGACACCCAGTAATGTTTATTTCTTTTTATATTGTTGTTACACTAAAGGAATGTTGATGTCATTTGATGTGTGCGTGATTAATGTCTGGCATTTTATTTAAAATTTAGGATATGATTTGTACGTGTAGAAATACGAGTTAGCTGCGAACAGGTTGTTGAGATTGTTAACTGATTATTTTTGATTGGTTGGTTGTTTTAGAAAAATCCACATTGGGCTATGTGTTGTGTTCCCCGCAGGGAATCAAACTCCGGATTTTATCGTTGTAAGTCTGTAAACTTATCGCTGTCCCACCGGGGGGAGAACTGATTATTTATTCAACTAGCCAGTTAGCTCGGCGTGAGAAATTTTGAGCTTGTGTTTTTCAAGAATACGAGAAGTATCTGTCTTACTTAAGAGAATTTGGTTTTATTTGTTTTGAATTTCGCTCAAAGCTACTTGAGGAGAATATGTTCTAAGGTCCCTAATTTAGAGGGAAAGCAGATAGTCAACACCATCAACTTTTGGGATACTCTTAACGAATAGTGGGATTGACCCAACCATTATAACGCCTCCACCACTGAAAGGGCGAGCATATTCCGTAACGAGGATTCGAACCCGCGACCCGCAGTGTATGGGTCGAGCTCTGTAACCATCAGGCCATGCCAGGTCTCCACTTCAGAGAAATTCATCAAGTTAATGGAATCTCTTTTTAGGCATTATTTATTTGTGTTAGACGTGGAACTCGTACAAACTGTACTTGTAAAGTTGTAGTGTTTTAAGTCGGAGAAATGAAACACTTTCGTTATAATTAAATGGACCAGATGTTGCCTTCTTCTTCTTCTTTTTTTTACCGAATTATCCAAACACAACCAGCCCGACGATTGAAACCATTGCAACATTAGTTTTAAAAGCTCACATAAGCGATAAGCAGTATTACTTACCAGTATTCAGGATTTTAAAAATAGCATTAAGATGTTTTTCTCTGGCAAAAGAACTGCAGAATTTAGACACACGAAGCGCCAGCAGTTCCTTCCAACCAAAGTAAAAAGTCATGTAATGATATATGAGTTTCTAATCGTAAGTATATTTTTCCTAATAAATACTACCAAGATTACGTTCACGTTTATTATTCCACAAATTACACGTACGGTATGAAATAATATTACACCACTACATTTGACTCATTTTTATCCATTGAACATTATAGGTGTTTTTACAAAGGTTACTGTGACCTAGCGAGAGAATCAATCTCCATAACGTAGTTTTACTAGTTCACTGTTTAAATATGTAATGCCTTTGGCGCTGACGAAATTTGGAATTGACTCTGACAGTAAATGGCCCCGCATGGCCAAGTGGTTAGGGCGCTCGACTCGCAATCTGAGGGTTCGAATCCCAGTCTCACCAAACATGCTCGCCATTTCAGTCGTGGGGGCGTTATAATGTGGCGGTCAATCCCACTGTTCGTTGGTAAAAGAGTAGCCCAAAAGTTGGCGGTGGATGGTGATTACTAGCTGCCCTCCCTCTAGTCTTACACTGCTAAATTAGGGATGGCTAGCGCAGATAGCCCTCGTGTAGCTTTTCGTGAAAATCAAAAAACAAACAAACCTGACAGTAATCGTCCACGTATTATGAAGATCTGTACCGTGAGTGATCGTTCGGGATTTCCGAACAAAGTGCTTAACACATATGGGCTTTTAAACTTACTCTTTGTTTGTTGAGTTTATTATACATTATTATTACTTGTGTGCTACGTACATCCGATCATATATATTGTATAGAGTATTTCATTTACACTTACTGATCATTTCACATCTGCTTCCAAAGAAAAAAAAATCATAATTTGGGAGTTTTCGAATACGTCAGGATTTGCCAGAAGTAGAGATAGGCACCCATTTCAACATTCATTTAGTCTGCATATGTGATAAATAGAGCAATTTGCATATAAAATTCATGAGAAAAGACCTTTGAAACTACAGTCGCTGACGGCAAGCACGCGTATCTGATGTTAGCGTAATCCAAGTGGACGTAATGTACTGTAATACAGCTGGCTGAGGCTGTTTTATTACAAAACTTCTGCTGCACTATGCTCTTATCCTCTGGAGCTATGCCAGTACCTTAAGGCCATATTCAAGTTTCCCTGCGGTCATTATTGACCATAAGTCAGAGTTTTATCTACCTTATCTCCTTGTCCCTGTTTAATAACAGTACAAAGAGGAAGTGGTATCAGTATTCCATGTTTGCTGTAAAATGTTTCCAAGATGACTTGCTTTTCCATGTCGGATTAAACAACTATGACTTTAGTCTTTGTTCTCTGCCATATTTACGAGTCTACTTGACTGAAAGACCTATTTAAATTACGCAACATTCAATCAGTGACTGATGTAACTATCGAATCTACTTAGAAGTACGAAACCTCTTAGAAACTGACACGTATGATAATAGTGTCAATAGAATAGTACTCAAACTCATGCTAAAATTAAATTCACATTCTAATCATCTGTATTGATAAATAAATACAGTAAACGTAGTAAATGTTTGTTTTCTTTTGCAGTTACAAAACAGTACGACCTTGCTTAAATATCACAATTACTTCTAAATAGTCTGCAAAACATTAAAAATCAATTACCGAAACTGGCCAATACATGCTTGAATTTTACCAGTTAACATATTGCCTTGTCAGTTTCATTAGGTATTACGTTACATGCATGCAGGGCTAGTGTATGCTAAAACATTTTCAGTTCTTTGAAGATCTTGGGAACTAGAAGCTTGTAGATTCAAGAATATACTATCAGTCTTGTAAATGTTTGATCGTTTCGTTGTTAAATTGACTTGTGGATTTAAGAATACACTATCAGTCTTGTAAGTGTTTGATAGTTTCGTTGTTAAATTGTTCTGTGGATTCAAGAATATACTATCAGTCTTGTAAATGTTTGATAGTTTCGTTGTTAAATTGTCTTGTGGATTTAAGAATACACTATCAGTCTTGTAAATGTTTGATAGTTTCATTGTTAAATTGTCTTGTGGATTCAAGAATATACTATCAGTCTAGTAAATGTTTGATAGTTTCGTTGTTAAATTGTCTTGTGGATTCAATGATATACTATCAGTCTAGTAAATGTTTGATAGTTTCGTTGTTAAATTATCTTGTGGATTCTTTAGGCTTTATACTTTCTAAAGCCCTTTGATAATTGTAAGATGTTATATTTCCTGCGAATCATATGAATAACAAAATCTGCTTTTTAGTTGTTTTATGCTACGATATGATATGCTGCTTCTTAGTGTTGGATTTATAATTACGTGTTTTGTGGTCTTGTACTGCTTACAGATCATTTGAATGCTACCTAATTTGATTCTGCTTATAGGTTTAATGGATTTTATCAAGCGTTACCCTACCTGCAGGAATTGAATATTCTAAAATGTCCAGTATAGGTTGCAGGTCTTGTGGATAATAAAAGGTCTCACACTTCTTGCACGTCTTGTAGATTCTAAATGTTTCATACTTTTTGTAGGTCATAAGGATTCTAGAAGGTATCATTCTGTGTACAAAACTTATGGATTCCACAGATTATTTTCTGACGTCTGTTAGTTTACTGGATTCTGTACAAGATGAAGTAATATCTACAGCACTTGCAGATTGTAAGCTCCTTATTCTTTGTACGAGATAATAAAACTAAAATGTAGCAAAGAATTTGAAGCTACCATAAAAATGTCAATACTTAATAAAAATAATCCAGTCATTGAGCTGACTAGAGTTAAAAAAATTCAAGAAACGCAAACAAATTTTATTCCTTATGTTACGACAGCGGAAGTCACGCGACGTTGGGAGCATGCGCTCTGGAGTTTCTAGAAGGATCGGGGAACCTCACGAATGTCCCAGCGTTTGTTAGACGCCCTCTTTTTAGTATATAAACTGGAGATAGATTGAAGAGAAATAAATAATAATTCAGTCAAGCGAACAGAAGGCACTGTATGTAAAGTGTGTGAATCACTGCGATTTATAGCGTGTGTTATAAAGGTTGTTAAGTTTAAAGCGACTGTGGAATTTCTGTGTA